TTCCACAGAAGGCTCGTTTCCACAACACCCACAAATACTAAATACTGTACATTACAATTGTTTACAATACAGTAAATTAAATTAAAGCAAAAACAAAAAACATTTAAAATAAAAACAAACAATAAACTACGGTAAACATAGAAAAAAACTATTGTGCGAGTGGCCTTATGGATCCTGCTGTCTGTTGGGGTCTGGCCACAGGATCTCTTCATCATCAAAGCAATGTCTTCTCTTGCTAAGCACCGGGGGAAATATCCCCTTGTGTGCCGTATCCAGCCATGGATAGAGCTTACCTCAGTGTCTCCGCAGGCCTGTCCCGTTGCCTGCAGAAGAGGCATGCGGGCATGTGGCTGGCGGCATAGGCGTCATTTTAACCGGGGACGCCGGGGACATGTCCCCGGCAAAATTTGTGATTGGCAGCTGTGTCCCCCCCACTTTCAAAAACGCCTGCTGATGAGGATTTTTGTTTTACCAGCTCAGATCTTATACCAGGGGTCGGCAACCTATTCCCATCAAAGAGCCATCATTACCCGTTTCCCACGGTAATTTTGGATGGACCTTAATAAGCAGTGACTTAAGTGAAGCAGGCAGGTAGCGCTAGAAAATTTAGTTTAAAAAGATGTCATAAATATGTTCCCCCGTCCTTTTTATTTATAAAATATGAAGTAAAAACTCCCAATTTAATTTTCATTCATTTGTCATTAATTTTTAGTCTACACCCGTGCGTTAAGTGGACCATCTTCCAGTAAAAGCGAAGCATCCAGCCCATCTCTCCAAATGCGTAAAATGTGCATCAGCCGCTAGTTAGGCGCGCCGCGCGCACCGTCAGCTACGTCATCCCAGACAAGAGCAGAGCAAATAGAGAAAGAATAGAGGATAATTCTGTTTGGATGTGGATGGAGATTACATTTTACAGCAGCCTGATCATCATTTAAATACGTAAACCATCACCTGTCTTCTAGTCCACGCTATCAGCATTATTTTAATTGGTGTGTGTGTGTGTGTGTGTGTGTGTGTGTGTGTGTGTGTGTGTGTGTGTGTGTGTGTGTGTGTGTGTGTGAGTGTGTGTGTGTGTGTGTGTGTGTGTGTGTGTTTTCCACTTCAAACACTGGTCTAACCAACCAGACCAGCGTGTCCAGTAACACATTAATGTTACAATTAAACAGTTTCACTTCATGTAGGCTAGGAACGTTTCACCTGCCGTGGCCCGGCCGCTTCTGCTCCACATAAACTTTGTGCGTGATCAAATGTCTCTACGCGTCATGCGTCTCCATATTAGAGACGGGAACAAGCGCTGTTCAGCCAGTTTCATAATTTCATAAAAAGAACATTTTTCCAAGTGACACATCCCTCAGAGAGACCGGGTTTCCAGACTGTTTCAGTGGGAGGAAATCTTATCGCATGCGCCGTGGTTCTGCACTGCGCTGCGAACCCCAGATCTTCAGCTCACTGTCCACCGTGGGCGCTCCGAGCCGCGCTGAACACAGTGTCCAGTATAAAGCTCTGATGTTCTGATGGGAATCTTTTACCTCCGCGATGTGCGTTAACGATTAAAATGTCAGCTCATCCATGCGCATCAGTGTGCGTCGGGGTAATTCTTTCAAACCAAGCAACATCCTTGAGTTCATCTGTCAAACTAAACAGTCAAATGGAAATATCTGTAACCTGCCATTTAACTGTTTTGCCTTCCTGTGAAGATTGTTGCAAAGAGAAACAATTAAACTTGATTAACCCCAGAGCCACCCAGAGAACCAGAGCGCATGCGGGAAGATTCCTCCCACTGAAGCGAGTGTTTTCCAAACCCTGTCTCTCAGAGAGACTTGTCACTTAGAAAATGTTCCCTGATTATGAAACTTTGGCTGAATAGTGCTTGTTCCTGTCTCCAATGTGGCGACACATCCATGAGCCTGTCTGAGGAGAATCCCAGAATCTCACATTGTCTTCAGCTCAGGAAGCGCATATGATTACACACAAGCGTGACGCGTCAACCCGGTCTCACAGTAAGACCGGGTTGGGCCTGTTCAGGTTTACGCAGACAATCTTTACATTTAGAATTGGCATACAGGTGTAAAATTAATGCAGTAAAATATAAAGCATTTCATTTAAATATCCATTCATTATTTTACAAGCACAGAGAGCCGCATCAGATGGATGGAAGAGCCGCATGCGGCTCCAGAGCCGCGGATTGCCGACCCCTGTGCTAGCCTACTTTATTGTCCCCAGCAATTTTTAAACCCCAATCAAGTGTATGGTTATTGTCCCCAGCAATTCTGAAAACAAACTGACACCCTTGGCTGGCGGTAATAAATGTGCCATCTCCAGGCGGAAAAAAAACTCCTCTATAGGGTTGAGAAATGGCGAGTAAGGGGTCAAATACACAACTCCAAATCGAGCATCGATTGGAACTGGTTCCAACTGTTAGTTTTCTCCGTAATCGTTCTAAGTTTTTTTTTCGATTCCTAAAATGCTGACGGAAGAGGAATCCGCGGCTGAGCTCCGTGAAAAATAAACGTGATCTGCAAATAGTGATCAGCGCTTTTCAGAGCTGATCACAGCAGCTGTCTGTGTGCAGCAAGAGACCCCACCCCCACCCGGCGTGCAGCGGCCAAATCTAAACAAACGCGTCTGCCGAACTTTTACTCCATAACGTAAACTTTAACTCCTACAGCGTAGAGGAAACTTGTTAAAATACGTCAACACGGTGGATTTAATAGAAACTCTGGACGGTGTGAGGTGAGTTTGTCTCACTGCAAAAATAAAAACACACATGGAGCGTCAGCAGTCAGACACGTGAGCGTCAGAAGGCTGAACAATAACCTGTAGAATAATTAAAGTCATCATGCTAGAGCAGCTTCTCTGTGGTGGACCACACCAGCTTCTGCCACAATTAATAATTATAATAATAATAATAATAATAAATAACATTTTTATTTGCTTTTTGAACTACTTCTGTTGAGTTTTAATGTTTAAATCTGTTAGATTGTTACTGACAGCAGCTACGTTTAAGTTTCACTTCCTGTTCTGACTGAATGCTGCTGCAGCATGGAGGTGTAGTTCTCAGTCATCCTGGACATGATCATCCTGAGAGTTTCAGCTGAAAACAGCTGGACGTTTCTGGATATGTTGGAGACATTTAGCCTCTCATCCCAGAGGCTTCTTCCAGACTTTGGTTGTGGTCAGAAACAAACCCACTGGTTGTGCTGCAAGTCTTTTTCTTTTGTTCTCCAAAACGTGTTTTTGTCTAAATGAAGGTGATGTTGTTGTTCATAGAATTAAAATTCATGTTGAAGTTAAGATTATTTCCTCAAGTAGGACCTGTGGTTAGCTGGCTCATTTAAAACACGGAATGTCTTGAAAGAATCAGAATGGGGAATCGATAGGAACCGGAATCGAAACCAGGAATTGGAATCAGAATCGGAATCATTCAAAATCAAACGATGCCCAACCTAGTGGTTGGTGAATTATTCCCGGACGATAGCAGCCCGATGGAAACTGACATAATCCCAGACAACAACAAGCCTGGGCTGCTCCGGTCTGTCCTGTACAACTGCATCCTGAAGTGCATCTAGAAATGTGATCATGTGTTGTGCATTATATGGACCCAGTTTGGAATGATGGTGCAGTAGCCCTCGGAGACTTATGCTGGGACACAATGTCATATTTCCTCCACGCTGCCCCGGGACGTGCACAATCGCCCTTTGGCCAAGTATATTACGTCCTTGTCGTCTACTTTTGCTAAGGTTGAATCCAGCCTCATCAATGTACATAAATTCAAGAGGCTGAGCAGCTCCATCCATGTCCATGATTCTCTGCAACAAAAATAAAAATACATATTGTAGATGGCCACCTGGCCACCTTACCATGTGAAACTTCAGTTTTTCTTCTTTAATAAATCTGCATACATTTCAAAATTCTGTTTTTCTGTCATTATGGGGTGGTGTGTGTACATTAATGAGGAAATAAATAATTGTATTTATTTAGCAAATGGCTGCAAGTTAACAAAGACTGAAAAACTGATGGAGGTCTGAATACTTTCTGTAACCACTGTATAGTCGGACTCACTTTGATGCATGGCTGGGGCTCCGGAAGGGTTGGATTTTCTATCACTCTGGAGTTGCCACCACTGAGAGGCGCTGAGAAGGGGAGGGCATACTAGTTGCCCCCTTCTTGGTGCCTGTATGTTGGGTGTACCCCGTTGAACGAGAGGTGGCTCGGGCATCTGGTTAGCGGGTCTCCTGGACACCTCCCTGGTGAGATTTCCCAGGCATGTCAGGATGAGAGCAAAAGGGACATTCAGGACATGCTGGAGGGAGAGACTATGTCTCTCAACTGGTCAGGGAACGCCTTGAGATTCCCCCGGAGAAAATGGTCCAAGTGGTTGGGGAGAGGGAAGTCTGGGCCTCCCTCCTCAGGCTGCTGCTCCTGCGAGCCGACCGCAGATAAGTGAAAGAGAATGGATGGATGGACATTCCTCCTGTGAGATTTGTTCGACTCCTGGAAGTTCTGGTTCTCTGAGGCTAGCTAGGCTACCTGTTCCTGGTTGAATTACAGAGATTCCCGCAGCAACTGGAACTCTTTGCATAGAACTTCCACCAAGGTGAGTCTGGTGCAAGACTGGATAACTTCTGGTAGACGCTGTCCAGGATGTCATCGTAGTTCCGGTTTGATTTCTGCATTGGAGGATCATTCAGAGCGGGTTTGCTTGGAGTTAGATGGCTCTGCTTTAGTCAGCTTCCCTGTAACGATCCACTCATAATGCTCGTCCAGATGAAGTTGCTGGTTCTCCAATGTTCCTTCCTCCAGTTTGGCACAGCTAAAACAGCAATTGTTTTAAACACACCTGAGTTGGCTTTTCATGGCGTGTAGTTGAGTTTCATTCAGATGAAGGTAGCCATGCTGGATAGCACACAGCTCTCAGGAGATCTCACTATCATCCATCTCACACTCGTGCATCTAAACAGAACTTTTGTAAGTCTTCTATGTCTCTTGTCTTTTCTCAGGTGTGCTACCATCCCAAGTGGAGATATTTTCCTTCCCCTCACCTGTTACTGATTGTGTTGAAGCCCACCGTATGTGCGCCACTGACCCACAGTGCGAGGCGCTGTACCACGGTCTTGAGCTGTGTGCAGCCGATGCAGCAATCGCCCCTCTGGACGAGCAAGTGGCGTCTGAGTGCCTGGAGAGACAAGATGCCCTGTTGGCTAAACATCCCTCACTTCTGGCCTGCAAGTGCCAACGAGGCTTCCGTAAGGAGGAGCGGTGCCTGCATATTTATTGGAGGGTTCGTCTTCTGCCAGGTCAGTCAGTCATAATGCTGTGTGACAATGTAGAATGATGTTTCACTTGACAGACTGCAGCAGGTGTATTAGAACAAATAATGGCTTGTTTTATTTTTATTTGCTTTGCTTTAATCTGTGGATAGAATAACCTGCCACCTTAAAAAGCTGATGTATATCATTAAGGGTTGGTAAGGGTACGACATAACTGCTGGTCAAAACCCTTTAACAATTCTGGAAGTCATTTGGACTTCAGGGGTCAGTGTAATACACACTTTCTAATATAAATAACCTTAAAGATGAAGACAACCGTGAAGAAAAATTAGCAAAACAAGCAAACTTTTGTCAAAATAAAACCACAAAACCATCTGTAATCCTCGACTGCCGGGTGCTGTAAACATCTGTTTAACTTGTAACGCACGCCACGGCCGGTGAGTCGGTAAAATTTCACAGCCGTTTGCTTCCAGTCTCTTCCTTGCAGTCAACACTGATCGGGCAGGTCTGTGTTATGTCCACCATACGTTGTCAGATTGACATACGTGTATCACAAACTGACAGCCTAAGTCTGTCAGCCAGGCATACGCTGTCTGGTCATCGGAAATCCTTTACGGTTTTTCTCAATTGCCAAGATGCATTCCTTGGTAGGTGCTCTCCTTTTCTCTACACTGTGAACACAAAACCCAGTTTTCAAACTCAAAACGGTTCAATCTGTGCTCAAAACTGAACCTTGTTGTCAAATCGTGGCCCGAGTCAAAAATGATTGTTTATTGTTCGCTGTAAGCAAAAGGAATGTTACAAAACAAAAATAAAACAGTCATTCAACACTTGTACAAGAAGACTAAACGGGAATCTCGAGCATTCACGTGTAGCACTTGTAAAAACAAACAGAAATCTTATGCGTTTGCCACTTGTGTACAGTAAGGCCATGTACAAAAGAAGTACAAAAACATACAAATACTACGTAAGTGCATTACTCAGCCACAGCATCATGTCTCTATGCTGGGTCAGGCCACAGGACTTCATCCACATCACAGGACCAGGCAACGGGGGAGAAAACCCTGGCGTGCTGTATCCGGGCTTGGCATGCCTCCACACCTATGTCACCACAGGCAAGTTCCATGGCTTGCAGGAGACTTCCCCTGGTGTAAGGCTGGCGTCCACCGCCATGAGGAGAATAATTCCTCAGTGGGGTTTTGGAAAGGGGCGTGTGGTGGAAGGCAAACAATGATAAAACATTGGTTCTCATTGAACCATTCTCTAATCTGGAGGGCTCTGTGAAATCTCACATTGTCTCAAACAACAACATAGATGGGATGCTCATCCTGCTGCCCTAAGAGAGCATCTCAGGGCCCTAGGCTGACATGATGGTGGACAACACCGTGATTGCTGATGACAGCACATAATGTGACATTGCCACCACGTTGCCCAGGAACACCAACAGTTGCCTGATGGCCAATCACATTATGGCCTCTTCTTCTCCTTTTGGTGAGATTAAACCCAGCTTCATCCATGTAGATGTACGTATTCATGGGGTCTTTCCTTTGCATCCTGTTGAAAAACCCTCTGTTGAAATAGAAATAGTGATACAGAAAGTGATTTTGGCCTCTACAGTAAATCAGTACTTAGAAAAATCAAGATTGAATATGTGTGGATATATGTCCACCTGTACATACTGGAACCATCGCTCTTTGACTCTGTCTGAGTTTTCAACCAGAACCTCTAGTACCGTCACACTTCTAAAAAATGTGCTCTAACATTTTCTGTAATGTAAAGGTGTTAGCTGAAGTGGGGCTAATGCTATCATTTCCTCCCTGCGTTCACGTCGTCATATTTGATTGTTACCGGGTTTTGATGTGTTGCTACTACAAACATCGTGCTTATTGTCACCTGTAACTGATTAGTGCGGACCTCTCACACAGGAGCCGCAGTGGTAATTCAGCCGCATTGTGAAGAGCAACAACTCAGAAAATGAAGAAATATCCTGTTTTGTTTGCTCATGTCCACAAATCAGACATCACAATGGAGTTTGTTTCATCTCACCCTCCAATACATTTAGCCACACCCTGTTTAGCAGCAGCAAGCATGGATCTCTGTTTGTGTGAAGTAGGTCCTGCATGGGGCCAAAGCAGCGCTCTGACCCCCGCTGGGTCTGCTCCTTATCGGTGTGCTGGAGCACGACCCGGAGGTGACAACAGACAACTTTATATTCAAGGTCACCAAAACAACACTCTTCATCGTCTCTGGTTCACACATTCCTCTAATTATTACATTGTCTTCACTTTGAACAAACGGGTCTCCTATTCAAGTGAAGCCTTTTAAAAACACTCGCAGAGAAACACACACACACACACACATTGTTGCAGAGGAATATGTGGAGTGTTTTTGTGTTGTGCATTAGTAAGTGAGCTAACGCTAGCCGGCAGACTTCCCCTGTGGCCTATTAGTCAGTGGAGCATTAGTGTAATTACACACTCTTTAGTTCTCTGTGCTGCTAGGCTGCTCTGGCGTTTCATTACCATAAATAAATAGCCTGGAATGGGATTTACATACACAAACACTTCATCTGCCATTCAGTTGCTGAATGAATTTAGTCTTTAGATTGTGCTTCACTAATTTGCTGCACCAAATGGCTTGTCCACCAAGTTATCAGACCTTTGCTAATGGACTTTACATTTGGAATAAAGCAGACTTGCCTCCAACAGTAGATCACGTAGACTTTGACGTTTCCCTTTTGAGAGATGTATGCTAGTCTTACAAGTGAGTGACTGTTGATTTAAGTTTATGTAAAGGTGTGAATGTCTTTAAGATACTCGTTGTTACCGGCTAAAACTCTTCTGTAGTCTTCTAAACTGCTTCCTACAGGCTCCTTCCACTTGGCTGCAGCTATAGTACATACGGTTCTCAGTGGTGATTGAAATCTGGTTAAAAAATACTTCAATAAACACCTCTGAAAGTACTTGAAACTGTACTCCTGAATAGTCGAAAGCACAATTGCTTTTACTTTTATGAGACCAAAAAGTTGAGACTCGTTTTTGAGCAGTGAGTCGTGGAGGATGGCTGCTTATACTGAGCCAGGATTCTCTGGAGGTTTCTTCCTGTTAAAAGGGAGTTTTCCTCTCCACTGTCGCTGCATGCTTGCTTAGTATGAGGATTGCTGTATAGTCACTGACACTAGTCAGTGACTTGATGCAATTTGCTGGGTTCCTTATATAGGAAACATTATTTCTGATTGGCTTAATGAACTGTGAATTGGAATGTTTATTATGTGAAGTGCCTTGAGACGACTCTTGTGATTTGGCGCTATATAAATAAACTTGAATTGAATTGAATTGAATATTTAGTGTTTTATGTGTAAATCGTTACCAGTCTGGAAAATATTACCTCTGAACGGTGCTGTACCCCTCTCAACTCAAAAGGACTCAGACTTTATTTACGTGGCGTCTTTCACAGAATCAAAAGTCAAAAAGCACCATTTAGCAGTCCAACATCAACAATAAAATAACACACCAAAAAAAAAGGTTACAGTAACGCTTCATTTTACAGTCCCCTAATTACTAAGTACTTACATGGTAATTACATAGTGAGTTAAAGTGTTTTATTGTGCAATTAAAGTGTATAATTCTAAAAAAAAAAGTGGAATTATTGTGTGAAGCAGTATTTACTGGGAATCATTAATAAAATAAAATCTATAATTGAACATAAGGTACATGGTAATAACTGTTTAAGAACTCAGAAACAATAACTTACTGTTACATGACTACACACTCCTTTCCCAGTTACTGGCCCAGTCACTGGGCAGAAAGCGGAAGTGAAGCGGACTGTCTCACCTATAGGGGAAGGTCATTCCATAGTTCTGGTCCTGCCAAAAGCTCGTTCTCCACGCGCCTTGTAACGTGTGTTCAGGAGATCCAGGAGTGGGTGCAATGTTACTGTTACATGGACTACAACTCCCATGATGCTTTGCGGCGTTAGCGCTGAGCCGAAGCGCCCCCTTCTTTGTGTTATTTCCAGTGTCTGCTGCCGGTGTCTGCAGCTCTGCTGTCTCGGACAAACTAAGCACTCCTCTCACTCAGCGCCGAGTTTACTCAGCTATTTGCCGGCGTTGAAGCCCAGAAACTGAGATTTTAACCGCTCAGTAATGTGTTCACGACTGAAAGGAGAAAGTTTTCCAACTAACTTCCGGACAGAGCTGATATAACTCCAGCGAGCAGCGACACGCTCAAACCAGCATGACTCTGTGGCTGCTGTAGTTTTTATTTTTCCTCCCCGACACACAACAACGTGGTCAAGCTGCTCAGACTTGTTCATCAGCACAAACCTATGTGAGCACCTGTTGTCATCTAATGTTGTCATTATTATGATGAAGATGAACAAAACAACAGGAGTCTCCTCCTCAGCTCAGATCAACCCCATGATGCAGGTATCTGGCTGGAACAGGTGAGCATCACAGTAAACCAGTGGAGCAAACTGAGCTTTAAATATGTTGGTTTTATGCTCTTTTTCTGCTCCAAAACATGAAAGTTAACAGGTGAGATGTTGCATTTTCATTTAAGATAAAATGATATTTTTATTTTGTTGTTGGCCCGTGAGAAAAGATTTAACCTACAATAAACAGGAAGTGGAAAGGCTGCAGATAGATGAATAGAATAGAAAATCCCTTTATTGCTCCTCAGTGGGGAAAGCTAGACGTCACAGCAGTGATGACACGTATTACAGGAGAATAAAAGGAGAATAAAAAATAAGAAAAATGAATAAACAAGAAAACATAAATCCTGAATAGATTTAAAAATGCTGATTATACCACAAGTAATGAATACCACTGATGTGTTTTATTTAAAGAGCAAGTCACCCCCAAATCACATTTTTTTTTGCTGATAAACTTTAAAGGAGTGTCTAATCATGCTACAGACACGTGTAGTCAATAATTTGGCAGTTCAGTGCATCTTGGTTAAAATTCAAATATTCTGTCTGAAACTGTCAGTGTTGCGCCGTCGTCAGAGAAAAATTGTGCACTGTATTTGAATTTAAATCTGCCACCGCTATTGGCTAAGAGGTATGCTATGATGTCATCTGATACATTATGATGTCATAATGCCATTGTGAGCCTGTGTGTGTGTGTATTTGTTAGCGGCTCCACCCTCTCGGTCTGCCAAGCAGCAGCATTTGTTGCATTTTTCAAACATGAAGTGGGAGTGAAGTAAGTTACTTGTAGGGGTGACTTGCTCTTTAAAACTGACTTGCTCGTGTGTAATTTGGTTATTCCACATTCAGTGTTAATGCAGAAATATGTTTGTTTCCAAATTAAAATGTTCAAAGTTGCATACATGTTGATAAAGAAAATGTGCAAATTTGCCGTCACTTTTTCAAAATATATTAAGTTTGGCCCGCGACTCTGTCCCAGAGTTTCATTTCAGCCCCGTGTGAGTTTGAGTTTGACTCCCCTGATCTATGTCTTGATGAGCTGAGGATTCTTCATTTCAGAATTATAATTGATTTTGTTTTTAAAACAGATTCCATGGACTGAATGATCTTTAGACAGGTTCCACAACAAACAACATATTCATTGTTATTATTACCTCCGATAGACTTTGATAAAAGGAAAGAGCTCCAGGAGTGCAACTAGCGAGAGAAAGGAGCTGAAGGACATCAGTCTATCCTGTCATGTTTCTCCACTCACTTAAATATCTGTTGTAAACTACTTGTTCTACCATTTGTAACCCACTCTGCTGTGTCGTGTCATGATCTGCTGATTTGGTTAAATTTCTCCTCCCTTCCTTCCTCTCTCTGAGTACCTGCTCACCTGCCTCCCGTCACTTATCAGCTCACCTGTTATTGCTTCATAATTACAATGTCGCAGAGTTCAAGTTCCCTTGTTTACTTTCCATTTGTCAGATCTTCCCACTTCGCCAGTTTAGTCGTTTTTGTTGCCTTCGATTGGTTGAATTAAAGGATTTGTTCCTCCAGCTTACCTGAACACCAACAAGCCACAACATGTAGACACTAAACAGCTATTTAACTTTTCACCAATGGTTGAATTGACCTTTTCCACAGGGAAAGATGAGCTGGAAGTTTCTCCGTATGATGACTCATTAGTAGACACTCGTATGGCTTCCCTGGTGGCAGGTAAGGTTGACTTCATTACCTTAAAGAACGTTTCTATCCACTAACTGATCAAGTTTGTATTCCCAAAGAACAAAAGTACTCATCCTGTTAGGAGAGCAACTGGTTGATCTTTTCCACAGATTCAGATCTTATTCCTACTTGAATTAAACAAACTCACTAAAGAGATGAGCGTGAGGCACACTGGTGCTGCTGGGTGCTCAACAACCAAACCACATTCACCAATTAAAAAACACAAAGAGAGTGTTTGGACATCAACAGAAACCAAATTCTAACTTTTATGCTTGGTTACCCATTACTCCCAGTACTCAAGTAACATTTTTTGAAGTACTTTTTACTCTTAGGTAATTATTTGTGTCATTAGCTTTCACACATCACTCACCTCTGGTCAAAAGCCTTTTTCGACCACGCTTGGATGCTGTTTGGCCGAGACGTTTAGCTGGACCCCTTCGCTGCCTCCTGGATAACTCCACTTCTAAGGGCGTTGCAAGTATTGACTCTTCAGTCTCGGACAAAGGACCTTTCCCTTTGGCAAAATGTATGGAACAAATATATGTGCATCGCTTTATCTGCTGCACGCTGTAGAAAGCCGCTTCTCCACATAAACACTGCCACCGCTTAGCTTTGTCGGTTTTTAGCTTGGCCCATTTCTTTTCCAGCTGTTCGATGTTGTCGCGGATAACGGATGGAGATGTCCCCTCTGACGTCCAATCTGTGAAACTAGTCAAGTCACGTTTATTTATGAAGCACTTATAAAACAGCATGGCAGCTGACATACAGTGAGCGCTGCCAAAAGAAATCAATGTACTATAAAAATGAATACATGATAAAATACAAGACAGGGATAAAACAGTGAGAGAAAGGCAAGTGATGCTCTTCAAAGACGGCATTGATAAAATACAAAAAACAGAAATAAATAGACCACAAGTGTAAGAAATAAACTCAAACCCAGAAGTCCAACCACTACATCAATAAAAGCAGGCGCTAAGATACCTAAGGTAGCAGGCTAACATCCTCTTAAAGCTAGATTTAAAAACGGGTCTTCAGACGAGACCCAGAAAGCGGAAGTGAAGCGGACTGTCTCACCTATAGGGGAAGGTCATTCCACCTAACTACCAAGAAAAACAAATATTTTATTACTTTTTTTTCATTAAAGAATTAAATAAAAATGGATTCCCCTCTTAATGAAACTTCATTTAAGTTTAGAATGATGCAACTGTCTCTTTGCTTGAATGGGCAAGAAAGACTTTTAATTTCTACAAATGGTGTAAAATTCCCCCGTTGGCTCGATCTTTAGGAGTGGTAGTAGATGCCAGGAGCTCCTTGTTAAGTTTAGAGTTCAAAAGAGAACAGTTCTCACTTTCAAAGCTTTGCATGGACTGGCGCCAGATCCTATCTCTGATCATCTCATTCCTTACAAACGTCTCGTTGCCTTGGATTGGTGGACTTTTGTCTTCGGTCATCCCTCTCTCAAAATATCAGTCCAGAGAGGATTGGGCTTTTTATGTTGAAATGCGCCCAGACTCTGCCTGTAAACTCTTGTAACTCAGTAAGTAACTGAGTTACTTTTTTGACTAAGTAATCAGCAACTGGGGAAGAACTAATTACTGGTGGCTACAGAAATACACTCACTAAAGTGACTGAAGTGTGGCCGTGTCATTTTCAAGCAGATTTCTCAGAAGATGGCCTAGGACCCAAAGGGTTAAGGGTCAAGTATAATCTATGTCACATGTGTCAGACACAAGGCCCGCAGAGCATTTTTATGTGACCCGTGAGATAAATATCAAAAATATATCAGAACTGGCCCGCTGGACTGCATTGTGACGTTATGTCACGATCTATTTTTAGATGTTGTGAAGTGTGCTGTTGGAGATTTAGTGAGTTAGTTTTTAGATGCTTTTCAGTTCAGATTATGGCCATCTTTGGTACTTTGATGCCTTTACCTGATGCTACACCTTCAGCTCTACAGAGATGGTTGTGTACAACTTTATCCTACCTGGTCCCCGTCTATGGCAAGCCAAATGAGCATTTATTCTGATATCAGGATATCAGCCAGAATTGTCATGAACATGTAAGCCATTTCTGTCCACTAGTTAACTAGTTAGACATGTTTGTGTCAACTAGTTAAATATCGAGGGTGAAAATGTGCCCACTAGTTAACTAGTGACAGCAGAAATGCGCACTAGTTAACTAGTGAACACATTTAGGCTTCAGTAGTTAACTAGTTGACACAAAAACTGCTCACTAGTTAACTAGTAAAAGCAGAAATGCATAGCAGTCAGCTACTTGAAGGTATTTGTCTCACTAGTTAACTAGTGAGGGTCAAAATGTGCACACTAGTTAACTTGTGGTAGACATAAATGCGCACTAGTTAACTAGTGAACATATTTTGGCTTCACTAGTTAACTAGTTGACACATAAATGGCTCACTAGTTAACTAGTAAAGACCAAAATGCATACCAGTCAGCTAGTTGAAGGTTTTTGTGTCTCACTAGTTAACTAGTGATGGCCAAAATGTGCACACTAGTTAACTTGTGGTAGACATAAATGTGCACTAGTTAACTAGTGAACACATTTTGGCTTCACTAGTTAACTAGTTGTCACATAAATGGCTCACTAGTTAACTAGTAAAGGCCAAAATGCATACCAGTCAGCTAGTTGAAGGTTTTTTGTGTCTCACTAGTTAACTATTGATGGCCAAAATGTGCACACTAGTTAACTAGTGAAGGCTTAACTCCTAACTAGTTAACTAGTTGGAGTAGGTCAGTGCCACTAGTTAACTAGTGAACCATTAATGGCTCACTAGCTAGCTAGTTGATGGCAGCAGGCTCACTAGTTACCTAGTTGATGCATCCATTGTCCAAACTAGTTAACTAGTGAGGACATAAATGTATACTAGTAAACTAGTTCAAGTCTACATTCACACTAGCTAGCTAGTTGCGCAGAATTCTAATTAGGAGGCGGAGAATTTCTCAAATTAAGACTCTCTATTGGCTCCCTGTGTCAAAATAAAATATGACAACCAATCACAGTGCGGAATTTCGTAAAATCCCACCCCAAACATTTGCATGCGGCACACAAGTTAACATGCTGGCCAGAGGAACCTCAGCTAGTGAACTAGTAGTGGCTTCAGTGTGACACTTACATGTAAACTTGTGAAGGCAGAACTGCTCACTAGTTAACTAGAGAGGGTACAAATGTCCACTAGTTAACTAGTGAGGTGCAAAATAAGTGTCACTAGTTCACTAGTGGGCCCCAAATCGCCCACAAGTTAACTAGTAAGGTGCGGATATGCTCACTAGTTAACTAGTGAGGTGCAGATTTGCTCACTAGTTAACTAGTGCGCCCTAAAGCGCCCACTAGTTAACTAGTAAGGTGCAAAAAAGCATCACTAGTTAACTTGTAAAGTGCAGATATGCTCACTAGTTAACTAGTGGGCCCCAAAATGTCAACAAGTTAACTAGTAGGGTGCGGATTTGCTCACTAGTTAACTAGTGAGGCACAGATATGCTCACTAGTTAACTAGTGATGTGTGGATTTGCTCACTAGTTAACTAGTGAGGTGCAGATTTGCTCACTAGTTAACTAGTGTGCCCTAAAGCACCCACTAGTTAACTAGTAAGGTGCAAAAAAGCATCACTAGTTAACTTGTAAAGTGCAGATATGCTCACTAGTTAACTAGTGGGCCCCAAAACGCCAACTAGTTAACTAGTAGGGTGCGGATTTGCTCACTAGTTAACTAGTGAGGCACAGATATGCTCACTAGTTAACTAGTGAAGTGCGGATTTGCTTACTAGCTAACTAGTGAGGCGCGGATTTGCTCACTAGTTAACTAGTGAAGTGCGGATTTGCTCACTAGTTAACTAGTGAGGTGCGGATTTGCTCACTAGTTAACTAGTGAGGTGCGGATTTGCTCACTAGTTAACTAGTGAGGTGCGGATTTGCTCACTAGTTAACTAGTGAGGTGCAGATATGCTCACTAGTTAACTAGTGAGGTGCAGATATGCTCACTAGTTAACTAGTGCGCACAAGACGCACACTAGTTGCTGTTTTTGGAGCAATCTAGTTTACTTGTTATGTAAAAATGTGTTCTTACTAGTTAACTAGTGACAAATTTACCTTCACTAGTTAACTAGTTGACATATTTGGCCTTTCTAGTTCACTTGTAATGGGACAGGAAGCACTCACTAGTTAACTAGTGAGCATATCTGCATTATAATTTTTTCTCACTAGCTTATAGAGGGCAAACTGAGCCTTACATGTTAAGTAGTGAACACAAAACACTGTCACTAGTTAACTAGCTGCAGAAAAATGCCCCTAAAACTAGTAAATTTGTGGAATTTGAATAAATACACACTTGGCTGGCATTCTGTGTAACATGTTAACTAGTTCGACCGCTGTACTGCTCACTAGTTAGCTAGTGAGCAAATCCGGCCTTTACATGCAAATGAAGAAATGCAGAACAGCTATGTGATTGGTCCATGTAGGACTGAGAAACAGAGAAAGTATGGCGGACTCTGTTCAGGCTGTTCTAAGAGAAAATTTGATAAACTAAGATCGTTTGAGCACATAAATATGTTTTGACGATATTTGTAGCGAGAAAGTTGTGGTGTATTGCTGTAATCTTTGTTCAGTTAACGTGTGCAGTCTTTAGTTTTCAGTTATTAGTCTGAAAAAGCCTGGAGGCGGAAGGCAGCGGCAAGGCAGCGGCAGACAGCATGTCTGTTTCTGTTGACAGGAAAGTGCAGAAACTCCGCAGAAATCTCCGTCAGATATATTGTTTCACATTTGTACGGAAGCGACAGGGTTATAATAATAAAAAAGGCTCTATTTTACATACGTTGCTGTAAAGCCTGCCAGCACTGATAGTGTTTTTAAGGGATAAATTTGCGAAGAGATTTAGCACATAGCCCTGGTGGTCTAGTGGCTAACGCGTTCGCCTGCAATGGCGGAGGTCGCGGGTTCGATCCTTGTTAATATACTTTAGTTTTGTACATTATTTCA